GAAAGGTGATAGGAAATCTTGTACAAATTAATAATTTTTTATCAAACCTGGTATCTCGGGGTTTTCCGGGTCGCTGATTACGAATTTGATGTCAGATTTTCAAAATTCAAAATGGCGGATCCAATATGGCGGTCGAAATTTATAAAAATTCACCAATTCATTTGAACGTTGTTATTTAGGGGTTTTTGGGGTCGCTGATTACGAATATGATGTCAGATTTTCAAAATTCAAAATGACGGATTCAATATGGCGGTCGAAATTTATAAAAGTTCATCGAATTCACTTGAAACTTGTTACTTGAAGGTTTTTGGGGTTGCTGATTACAAATTTGATGTCGGGTTTTCAAAATTCAAAATGGCGAATCCAATATGGTGGTCGAATCTTTAAATCGTAAAAATAAGCGTCTAAAATTTACACAAACGTAATACAAGAGTTGTTATGAAATATTTCTATTAATTTTATTTTATTGCATTATATTTGTTTAATAAATTTTGATTATAAGCTTTTTAATTTATTGATTCTAATAGAAACTTAGTTAATAAATATACAAATTTTCAGATTAAAAATCACTTAAAATAAAAATTTTAAAATGTTGGCTTGCAAATTTTAACAAAAAATTGATCGAACATTTAAATTTTCCAAATTATTTTTCAGATTTCTGATCTTCACCTTTATTAGATTTGGCTGTTTTATTATTCTTATCTGACATCATTTTCGTACTCAGAGACACCGTAAGCCCTTAGATACCAAGTTTTATAAAAAATTAACAATTTTTATAAATTTCAACCGTCATATTGAGTCTGCCATATTGAATTTTAAAAATGTACAATCAGATTCGTACTCAGCGACCCCAAAAACCCGAGACGACTGCTTTTCCCCGAAATGACAAAATGTCGAATGGACAAAACGTCGAATAGCAAAACGTCGAATGGACAAAATATCGAAAAGCCAAGACGTCGAACAGACAAAATGTCGAATAGCCAAAACTTCGAACAGACAAAATATAGAATTGCCAAAATGTCGAATTATCAAAATGTCGAATAGTCAAGAAGTCGAATGATTGAAACGTCGAATAGCTAAGACGTCGAACGGACAAAATGTCGAAAAGCCAAGACGTCGAACGGACAAAATGTCAAATAGCCAAAACATCGAACAGACAAAATATCGAATCGCCAAGACGTCGAACGGACAAAATGTCGAATAGCTAAAACGTCGAATAGCCAAAATGTCGAAAAGCCAAGACGTCGAAAAGTCAAAACTGCGAATGGACAAAATCTCGAAAAGTCAAGACGTCAAATGGTCAAAATGTCGAATAGACAAAATATCGAGACGTTAATTTGCTCTGAGTTTCCCTTCTATATAATGCACACGAGTTTGTTGTTGCGTTTAACACTCGATAGATATCGCTATAGTTGTATTGTTTTTAATGTTTTTTTTACATTTTTTTATAATAATAATAATAATAATAGTAGTAAAGTAATTATTATAGTATAATAATAATAATAAAAATTATTTGAAAGGAGAATAATTATTGTTTTTATCTTTACAAATACAAACTTTTAATTTTAAACAGTTAAACTCGTGTGCATTATATAGAAGGGAAACTCAGAGCAAAATAACGTCACGATATTTTGTCCATTCGACATTTTGACCATTTGACGTCTTGACTTTTCAACATTTTGTCCATTCGCAGTTTTGACTTTTCGACGTCTTGGCTTTTCGACATTTTGGCTATTCGACGTTTTGGCTATTCGACATTTTGTCCGTTCGACGTCTTGGCGATTCGATATTTTGTCCGTTCGATGTTTTGGCTATTTGACATTTTGTCCGTTCGACGTCTTGTCTATTCGACGTTTCAATCATTCGACTTCTTGACTATTTGACATTTTGATAATTCGACATTTTGGCAATTCTATATTTTGTCTGTTCGAAGTTTTGGCTTTTCGACATTTTGTCTGTTCGACGTCTTGGCTTTTCGACATTTTGACCTTTCGACGTTTTGACCTTTCGACGTTTTGACTATTCGACGTTTTGACTATGCGACGTCTTGATTTTTTGATATTTTGTCCATTCGACGTTTTGCTATTCAACGTTTTGTCCATTCGACATTTTGTCGTTTCGGGGAAAAGCAGTTTATCTTTGCGGGATAATTCCATAGCTTCTTGTCGAATGTTATTTTTTTCGATGATTTTTATTTCTGAAAAGCAGTCATCGACATGTATTGTCGTTACATTAATTTCGCCGTTTCTTTCAGTAATTTTGCCGTGACATGGCAATCTGTAGTTCGAGCATCGAAAATTAGCGTCTCCATTCTCTATCTCGTTTTTTATAAGTGTATCCGTCATATTCATATTTATATGAATTTTTAAATTTTCCAGACAACCTAATCATATCTGTAAAATAAATAAATAACCAAAAATAATATTTATTAAACAAAAAAAATTTGTTTATTTATTTTAAAAAACAAGAAAAAAATTGTTAAACAGAATTTAGAATGCAGGAAACTTATATAAATTTATGGGGTAATTTATATAAGCTTATAGGGTAGTTTATTACTTTGAATTTTTTTGAATTCAAAATAATTTTTTTCTGACATACTTTTTAGTTCTCTTTAAGGTCTATGAGGTGAAAAATGTCATAAATTTGAATTTGGATTTATAAAATTAAAAATATTGACGGAAATGCCAAGTGGCATAATAATTTCTTTCTGATATAGATTTTATTATAATTTTGTGTAATGCATTTAGAAAATTTCATGTTTTTTAATTTTTTGCCGGTGCATTGTAGTTTTGTGTTGTTTTATCGAGGTTATTTGTAAATTTTTCTTTTATTTTTTTTTATTTAATATTAATCAAGAATCTAACAATTTTAGAAATCGTTAGGTTTTGCGTTGAAAATTGCAATCTAATATTATTATTTATTTCTTATTAATTTCTAAATTTCAAGTTTCTTAATTACGAGATATAAATAAATTTTTACGTCTACTTTTTCAATAAGGATTTAAACAAATATAAAAATGTTATGGCTTACCGATTTTTAATAAAACCTAACCAATTTGTAAGAAATCGATATTATCGGTATCTTTAAAAAATGTACACAACGTACGAGAACTGCCACCTTGATTTTTCATCTTGCAACATCAAAATTTGACGTTTCTCACATTCGCGGTTTTCAATTGTTTAACAGGGTTGGCAATGGGTGTTTTCAGATAACTTTCTCGTCGGCTGGGTAATAGTTATTACGTAATTATACAACTTAGAAGACCTGATTTTTTTTATAAAGAGTTCCAGGGCTGCAAAAATTTTCCTATTCACATATATTATTTCAAATATTTAAAAATTAATTTTCTAATAGTTTTTAAAAATAATTTCACTGTAATCGATTTCATTTCAGGAAATGAAAATGCAAAGTTAAGGAAGGTGTCTCTAAAGTAGAGCGCAGCCCTATATCCCTTATAGAACTACTGTGCATAAAGTCAATTTTATAATATTATAAGCAAACTTAAAACAAATTGACTTAATAAACTTTCTACAAGTTTGCATTGCCAAATACCAAATACCTTTTTGGGTAAATTTTTTTTTACTATCGGAGGTTAGAAAGCACCCTGATATATGACCATTTGCGTCGTCAATAAAATAACGAAATGACAGATGAAAATCTACAATTTTAATATGGATAGAGATATTCTTTCTTTTGATTTTGATAGCCTATGGAACCAAGTAGACAAATAACCAATACTACATACACTATAAATTTTACAGAAATGGAAGAGTTTGATCAACTTTTAGAATCTCTAAGAAAACAATTCAAAGGTATATATTACTTTCGAAAATTATTAAGCTTTCAGTATTATTATTTTCTTTAGATTATGATATTTGCAGAACTAGGTATCTCTACTTTGTATCTTTTTCATCTTCTATCCCAAGCAGAAAAGTCGGTGGTGTGCCGATGCTTAGCTTACGACCGGCAAGACACCAGCCCGGTGGTAAAGTCGGATAAAAACCGGCACCGTGGTACCGGGCCGGATGTTCAATGACGACCGGCATTACACCGGCCCCGTGGTAAAATCGGACTATAACCGGTACCGGTCCACTTGATAAAAAGTAACCGGCAAAGCACCAGCCCGGTACCACATGTTAATACCGTTTTTAAACCGGAAACGGAGTTATGACGGCATCAAAGTAAGTACTGGCCCGGTACTGCTATGTAATACAGTTTTTATACCGGCAATTAAGTTCTGCCAGCTTAAAAATTAGTTTATTATTATTATTCTTTATTAAATAAGTTAATATAATAATAATAATAATACCGTTTTTATACCAGCAATTGAGTTCTGCCGGCTTAAAAATTAGTATAATTAGTACCGGCCCAGCACCTGCCTGGTACTACTTTCCAATAGCTTTTTTAAACCGGCATCGGATTTAAGCTGGCATCACAATTAGTGCCTACCCGACCCCACTTTAACAACAAATTTGTTTTATTTAAAATTTTTGAAACTTATTTTGATAATTCTAGAAATCAATTTAATAAATTAATCCTGGGTTTCGATCCCCAGCAGAGTTAGTCTAACATTTTTCCATAGTTTTAATTTTCCAAAAACAATTTAATAAATAATTTAACGATTCAAATTAATTTAATTTACTCTCTAAATCTGAATCAGAGTAATTTATATATTATTTAAAAAATATATTTATTAAATATTGAATATATATTTAATATATATTATTTTTTAAAAATACTCAATAACATTTAATTTTATTTGTTAGTTTAAAATAATTATCAGAATGTTAATTAATATTTTAATTAATAATTCTGTTAATTTTTTACTTTGTTAATAATAAAGGATTATGTGAAAGAGGAATATTCTTTTGAAAAAAGTGATTTAGGTTTCGCGCAATTTTTAAATGACTATGAGTAGAAACCACGTGACGTGACCTATACTTCCGTTTGTAGTTGCTTCCTGCCTGGCCTGACCTGCGTTAAATTCGTGCTGTGAAATACGTTTTGCATAGAAAAAAAGTTTTGTTCGTAATCCAAATAGTGTTTTCGTTTATTTATATTGCTACTGGAAAAAAATATACTTTGGAATAGAAGAAAGTTTATCGGATAAGTCTGATTTCTTGAAACAAAGGTAAGAAAGACATTTCTTTCTAGAATATTCTATGTAACATATAATTAGAGGTTATGTTAATGTACACGCCAAAACAATATATACTTACATATTCTGTGTTTTAAATAATTTACCTCTATTTCCATGATTATTTTTTTAACAATATTTAGTGTACTCACGAATCACACAATATTTAAATTTGTTTAAATAGTTAAAAATGTATTTTACAAAAAGAGATCGCACTTTCAATTTAAAGTTTACAATGAACTTTGTTTCCAAATTGTTTCTTACACAACTATCGTTTCCTAAATAATAAGAAATATTTTTAAAATATTGTTTAAATTCAATATTTTTATTATTATAAAATAATGAACATAAATGTATTATCGAACCATGTGATGTCAAAATGAATCTTGAACGTCGAGAAATAAAAATCCACGTATTGTTGATTATGAATGACATTAATGATGCAAATAACATAAATAATGTTTAAAAAAATATTATGCTTACAGAAAATATTTTTATCATTGTAAAATATTATATTTATATGTATTATTGAATCATCCAGAGTCAAAATATATCTTGAACGTCCAGCAATGAAAATTGACATATTGTAGGTTATGAATGAACAAGTTTTTTTTCTGGCTTGCACATCAAGTAAAATTACAGAAAATGTTTTTACAGTATAAGATTCTTGCATGATTCGTGTATATAAGAAGATTGCATAAAAATAAAATATTATAATAATTAGTAATATTCAATCAAAATTAAAAAAATAAAGGTTCAAATGTTATAAAACAAGAAAAATGCAAAACAATAAATTATTTTCATTTTTAATTAATTTAAGTAGGGGAGACTGGGGCAAACCGGCCATGTTAACAGTTGTAAGGCTATAGTAACTAAAGAAACTAATGAAAAACCTTTTATAATAGCTTGTTGGAAAAGTCATCTAATTGCGCAACTTTTTCCTAGAGACACATGTACCTTAAAATGTATTGTTTAGCTGCTGCATCAATTTTAAAAAAATTTGCAAACTGGCCGGTTTGCCCCACCCCTGAGGTAAACCGGCCAGTTTATTTTTTTTGTTTGTTTAGAGAATTAATTGTAAGGAAATCGTCACTAAATATAAAAAATCAATAAACAATCTTCCCAATAAGGAAAATAATAAGATAGGATTAAATTTGAATTAAAGAAACATCTTATTTATTATAAAACAAATATTTTCAACTATAATTGTTCTCGTTCACAAAGAAACTTCTGTCGGTGAGCTTTGTAAAACTTCGTAAATCTCCGTAAAGTGGACAAAGATTCACGAAACCGTGCACGAAGTTTTCTAGGCGATAGGTAATCTTTGTGAATTTCTGTTGCAAGGGAAACAGACATAGGCCGGTTTTCCTCACAGGCCCATTCTGACAATTAAGACCTGTATAAAAAAATGCTTAGTAAAATCATTAAATAATATACCGATAAATTTAACTGAGGCAGGCACCTTTTAAACCTAAAAAACAATTTTAATAAATATTACACGATTTTCTCACAAATTGCTTATGAACAGATCCGTAAAAATTTCTAGCGGAAGCGAAAAAACAAACTTTTGTTTATAAAATTGCATAAACACAATTAAAAAATGTCAAACTGAAGAAATAAGTTATTCTTAATGAAGTCTTTTTAAATTTATAATTGACATGTTTTAAAGTTTGGCCATTTCTGAGAAACTAACACCTGGCCGGTTTGACCCAGTCTTCCCTATATGTTTAATTGTTTTTTATATTCGCAGACTCAAATCGAATTCGCTACAATGTCAAGTTCGTATTATCGTTTAAAAAAATTTCGTGCTTTAAAGGATCTTGATTCTACTTGGCCTCCAAATTATTCGAAATTGGAAGAGGATCCTTCAAAAGTAAATAATGAATCGGAATTAATTGCTGAAAACATTACTCAGGCCAAAGAAGTTCAAAATTTTTCAGTAAATAATTTGGAAACTTTATCACTTGAAAATAATGAAGTTTCAAGTTGTGATCCTCCGGTTAATTCTTCTCCAGAAAAAATGGAAATAGACGAGGGAGATTTATCTTCTGATAATAATGATAGTTTTATTCCTGGCTTACTCAAGAAGAGCAATGAAGATGCAGTCAAATCTTCTCTCAGGGATAAATTACAGGTTTTAGTCGTACGACATATGTCACATGCTACACAAGCTTTGACATCAGAACTATTGACAATTTTAAAAGAAGAAGGATACGCTGATTTTCCCAAAAGTGCAGCGACATTGCTAAACAGCAATAAATATAAACACATAAAAATAACCCGCATGGAATCTAAAGGGCGAAAACAAAAAGGCTTTTTCTTTTATTTAGGAATTGAAGAAAATTTAAAACGAATAATTCCTCCTCTTATTTATACGAAACGTGTCATTAAACTCTTAAGTAATATTGATGGATTACCACTTTTTAATCGATCAGGTCAGCAATTGTGGCCTATTCGCATGTTGATTCACGATCCTGACTTCGAAGCAGTTCCTTTTTTAGTGGGAGCATTTTGTGGTAGATCAATACCACAGTTCGTAAAAAAAATTTTGATTAAATTCGTTAAAGAATTAATAAGACTTCTCAAAAAAGGATTTTTCATCAATGGAGTGCATTTTACTATTGAAATTATAGGATTCATCTGTGATACTCCTGCCCGAAATTTCATTAAGTGTTGTGCAGGTCATGGAGGGTTTTATTTCCTCTAAAGGAAATAAAAAAAAGGTTTATACTTGTTTACCCGCGTAGAAATGTTGGCCATGGGATAAAAAATATAAAGCATGGGCTGAGAAATATAAATGGTGGGAGAAGACATACAAACCATGGATTGAGTCATCAAAAATTTTTGCCCACTGTTACCCATTGTATGGGCTAATAAGCATTGGATTTGTCTAGTTCCCATTGTTCAACAATGGGATGACGGGGATTTGGTCGTATTTTATTGCTTGATCGTATATTTTAATATTTTCTGAGATACTTTCTTTAAATTTATTTCTGGTAAAACTTTATTTTAAATTTCTTTAAAGCGCCAATTAAAAAAATTTTTGAGATAGAATTTATTAATTTTTAATAATAATTTTTGAATTTATAATCACTTTTTTGTCTCGAAGTGATTGTTAATTTATCAATTTATTATTAAAAACGATAGAATAATAAAGTCATAATGGTTTATATAATTTATTTTTTATGCTTCTTTTAAATTTCGTTAAATATTGAATCTGATTAGATTATAATTTTACTCTAATTTAAAGTAAAAATTCACTTGCAAATTGTATCTAGTTTGTACCTAGTTTATTCTATATGACTTTTTTAAGGTCATCTGTAGAAAAATAAATAAATACATTAAATATATCTTAAACTACTTTATTTATTTTTAAACAATTAAACAATCAAAATAAGCAAAATACTAAAAATGTCTATTAACATATAGATGTGCACGTCTTTCAAAAGTTTCCTGATATTGTTGAATAAAATTCTGAGTCAAATTGAAATTGTAAGCAATTTAAAAATTAATTTCAATTATTTATTTTCAATTACGTTAACAGGCTCTGACAAATAAGTTGAAATGGTTTCATTTTCATTTACAATTTTAGTTAAAAAACAAACTTCTTTTAAAGCATTCAAACTTACAACATCGAATTCATTCGGAAGCAGATCAACTTTGTGAATGAAATTTAGTCCTATGCCTGGTATAACTGTCAACGGATAAGCGATGTTTGCTCTGTATTTTTTAATCAAGGCATAATAATCTGCAAGACATTGACAGTGCCTTTGACATTGACACTGTAGCACTTTTAAAAAGAGGTGAATCCTACCAAAGTGTATTTCATTATGTACAGCGTATTTTACGTAACTCGAATTTGTACGCTTTGCTCGTGTGTATATTTCCGACGTATACAAAATATCATCTTTGAATAATTTTTTAAAAATAATATGTTTTGAACCGTTAATTCCTTTATTTAAGAGAAGTGCTAGAATATCATTGTCAACTCGTAATTTAGAAAGTCCTCCTACAATGTGCACAGAATTCCCGATGGCTTGCAATTTCATCTGTGTTGTCGGAGATAGATACTTTTTACAGAACTGATATGTTTTGCTTCCTTCGTTGAGTAACTCTTTATGCAATGTAAATGTATTTATGTATAAGGAAGCTCCAAAATAAATCTGTAGTTGGGCACATTTACTACCATGGATTAAGTTTTTTAATTTCCCGTTTATATCTTCAAAAGCAAAGCACTGATAAATAAACAGAGGACCTAAATCTTTTACGATATCAACTAAATGAAGTAATGAATGTAGATTACAAGTCATGTTTTCTTCTCCGTAAAGGCCTGCAAACCTCGAGACGAATTCATGTAGCATTCTAGAAGCGTTTTGCAACATTCCTTCTGAAATGCTTGGCTGACAAAGCAAATAGATAGCGCCTACTAATAACTGAAAGTGCTCGAAATACTGCTGAGGAAGTATACCCTCTAAAATAGGTAATACCAATACTTTAATACTTCCAATACTTTAATTTTTTTTCTATTGAAAGGAGGCGTCTTTGAGTAAAATTTGGTGGAGTAAGATTTTTTATCGTTTTATCAACAACTGCTACCATTTCTGCAATAGAAAAATTTTTTCCTGCGAATTTCGAATTAAACCAACAGTTCATGAGAGATTTCATTATACCAATAAATACCATATGCATAGTATCTAATGATGTAGTAGTGATCCATTTATACACTAGCAAAGATATCATACATGGACCTTTTACCCCGAATTCAAAACTTTGAGCATGATCCAATGTCTCTGCTTCAGTTCGAAGTGTCATGTTCCTTATATATGGATAAACTTGACGTTTTCCTATTCTTGCCCCCTCTTGTTTACATTTGTGGCACCCGAACTTCCCATTATATTGTTTCATATTGAGGAAAAGAGCCTTTGCTGGAAGGTCGCAAGAACCACAAATGATTATTCCCTTGACATTCAAGTTTTCATTATTAGGTAATTGAA